TATTTGGAAGTATCTACACGTGCAAAATCTCACATAAATTCCATATAATTCCAAGTTGCAGATACCGACATTTTCTCTCTCTTTTTTTTAATAGGTTCGGTGCGTAATGATCGATCTTTTCGCCCGTTCCCGCCGATCGCGCGATTTTTCTGTCCGCACGTATCGCATGACGCTTTCTCTTTGAGACGCAGGAAAAGAAATAAAAGGAAAAAAAGAGGATCGAGGAGTCTCGAGGAGAGCGAATTATTTGTCATTACGCAGCATATTACGCGCGCGCGCCACGTAGGCGCGGAGGAGAAGTCCCCGCGAGGCGTAAGAGAGGAGAGAAATGCGCGGATTCAAATCGCGACTCTTCAGGGATTTCGTCATCGCGATGCACAACGGAATACTGTACGAGTCACGGACGCGTCTCTCTCTCTCTCTCTCTCTCTCTCTCTCTCTCTCTCTCTCTCTCTCTCTCTCTCTGTCCTTCTCTTTTCTTCTTTCGTCGGTGCAACGTTGCATGCCGACACGAGGAGACGACGAAGGCACGCGGCGGCGAGAAGCCGCGGTATTATACCACCACGTCCGATTGTCGTCAACGGCAAATCGAATTATGAGGATACGTGGGCGGAAGGAGTCGTGCTCGAGCGGAATTCTCTCTCATAAGCATCGTGTCACTTAATCTAATTTTAGGATAAGGTAGTAAAATAATTGTTTCCTTTAAATTTTAATGTAAAACTGTCATTTTCTCCAAGAAGCCGCGCTCGAGCGGAATTCGTCAATGCTTCACATCGCCTAATCGAATTTCACGTCAAGACCACACGATATTGTCGCAGAATAATTTTTCTTGTTTCTAATTTTTATCTCTTATCTTCTTAATTGACGGATAAATACGACAAAGAATCATGCATCTGTCGGCGTAATAATTAACTTAATAGAGAAGTTGTCAGGAGGTCATCACAGGAAAGCGTTATAAAACTCCACACGCTTCCCCCTCGGCTCTCCAATTGCACCAGAGTAAAAAACGAGGGCAATTGATGTCCGTCCGGGCTCGAAAAATTAACTACAGCTTCGAGTTAATTTCGTAACAGCCCGACGAATTGCTACCAAATTGTGTTCACGAGCGCGGACTAACATTCGGCACTACGTGTTTGTCATTCCAATTAAGATCACGCTATCTGATCTCTCAGACTGTTCACATTCCTTTACTCTTACTCGTCTTATCTCATGAAATTTTCGCACGTTCGCGCTGGTTTCGTCCGAAATTCGCGTTTCGCCATCTCCCGACAATCACCAGCTGCGCAATCGATCCAACTTGGCGATCGATGCGTGGCGTGGCGTCATTTCCAATCACGAAGCGGAAGGATCGAGCTGTAAGCATCGGCTTTAGCGAAAAGAGGAGAGGGAGGAGAGAAACAGAGACAGAGAAAGACAGAAAGAGACACACAGAGAGATAGAAGAAACAAATAGAAGCGCGGCTGTCAACGAGACGGGAAATTTCCCAGTCACTCTCGTTAATATCGTCTACGACGATGATCGGCCGATGATGCCCTCCGCACGAAATAAACGGCGGCTAGTATGTTACTCGTTACGGAGCAAGTTAATCACATCGGAGTACAAATCCGTCCGGCGTCTCGCGATATAACGCTAATTAGAATCGGGATTGCGGCCCTTCCGGATCGCGCAAGTGTCACGCGTCGTTACGTCGAATTACGTGAAATCAACGCGTCGCGAGAAGGATGAAAGCTGTACTGTTCGAGACGATTGCAATGAAACTGGTTCTACAGACGAAGATTAGTTGATCGATCAGATAATCTCGCGATTTTTACCACAATTAATTTTTACATAAATTTACTTGAAAATGTTGTGTGACCTTTTACTACGAAGTTATCGTGATTACGTGAATGTCTCTTTACAAAATTAATTAAAAAATGGACCACGTCAAATTTACTATCAGTAACGCTCGCTACGACATTTTCTCCGTGTACTGACAATCCTTCAAAGCCTAGATATTAATAATTAATCTCGATTTCTCGAATACAATTAGCTTACTTTATTAAATAATTTTATGAGACGTAACTTGATGAGAAACGCGCTTGCCGGTGACCATCACGGTGTTCAACGTGTCGAAGTACCCGGCGGCACGAGAAGAATTTGCAGAGCCGGCATCTCGCGGACTTTGGGGACGCACGTCGGCGAGGAATGAGCAAACAGAGGGACGAAGCTGGCAATTCGCGCGCACGTGGACGACAACGCGTGCGTGCTTGCGCGCACGTATAGCAAGACACAATGAAGTTGGGAGCTCAAACTGACCAAACTGTCAAAATTCAGGATCATTACCGACATATCTACACAATAATAATATAATTAATCCTTTCAGGACGAAGGGTTGCTCGGGAAGATAATTATAGGGAAGTACGTATTCTATGGGTTTTTGAGGTCGTTGAATCCGAATCTGAACTTAGATTTTTAAAATTTTGTGATCCAAGATGGCGGACCCAATATGGTTAACTAAAGTTTGGGTGGTACTGATGAGCTTCAAGAAAAGCGAAACTGGAAATCAGTCAAGATTTTCATTAATTCAAATTTAGAGAATATAAAGTTTCACGGGTATTGAGTCATATTTACATAATTTGCATTTTGAAAATCTCCATATTTGATCCGCCATTTTGAATTTTACATTTTTCACTTCAAATTTGGAAAGAGCATCCCAAAAAACCCTTACATACTAATTTTTGTGAATACCGGATCAATAGTTTCTGAAATACATGCATGAAGGTCGTAGAGCATCAAAAGATGTCTCCCATCCTGAAAGGATTAAAGACACTATATAGTATGTAATAAATAATAATAATACTAATAATGATTCATGATATAATAATTAATAATATAATATATTAATTAATAATATAATAATAATTAATAATATAATGATTGTGGGGACAAGTCCGTTAATGACTTCCAATTTTGACAGTTGAGTGATTTCCCAACTTCTAAACCGCTTTGCAACCCACTGTGCATACGAATACGTACGTTGTCATGCTTCGTCGTGGTCCACTTTGATCATTCCAGCGAAGAAACGCGCGCGATTCTCTCCGGAGGGAAGCTCGGAAAATAATATTTATTCTGGCCTGGAAGAATCGCAGGGACGAGCTCGCCTCTCTCCTCTCGAGAGCGCTGGGCCGCGTAAACGTCAGCTTTTATGTGGAGTGTTGCGCTACCGGCGACGTGGAAAGGACGCGTTCAAAAGTCCTTGCGGGGGGAGGGATCCTCCGCCGGTCGCGGAGGGACAGCCCGTGCATTATCCTGACCGCAGGAACGACCGTTCGCTTTCGCCCGGCGTCGACACGCCTGGCATGCGTTTAACCATCAGAGATTCGCAATTCCGCGAGCTAGCGCGAACTTGGCGAGCTGTTATATTCCCGCTTTCACGCTCTTCTCGCGGAACGTCACAGACTCCTCCTCGGCCCGACTCGTTGTTTACCGGATATTAAACGTCTCGCGTTATACGTGCAGCACGCTGACGCACGTCGTCGGGCAGAATTCGCACGCGAGAGAGAAAAAGAAAAAATACACGTGCACGCCGTTTAATGTCGCCGGTATCAATGTTCTCTCATAAGCGTCGTTGCGATCCCGCGGCTCGTCGCGAGTCGCGCGTTTAATGAACCCTGAACAAATACTCAGCGCGTTGTGTCCAACTCCCCTGAGCTACGGTGAAGAAGACATTTATGATCCTCTAACGCGTGGCCGTAGCGCTGGCCCGAAGCGCACGGCAAGGTGCAGTAATATCGTGAAATTAACTTCACCGCGAAACAGGCAGAGATTACGACACGAATCAGGGAAAATCGAAGATTATTCGACAATATTTGAAATCTGCGATTAAAGTGCGGTTATGTTGGAGTGTTTATACAGTTTTCAGCAATGCTTGCATCCGTTTTGCCTATTTTCTTTATTTTCGTTAAAACACAGCCATTTTAATGAGAAGTGTGTGCGACCTGAGTATACATTTGTAATTTTCTTGTGTGAAATCTATATATTTTGAATAAAATTTATATTTATATTATTAAAAAAATACATAATAATAATTTATATTATTAAAAAAAAAAATATATATATATATTTTTTTTTTAATAACATAAATTATTATTATATATTTTTTATATATATAATAATAATTATATATATAATCATATATATATATATATATATATATATTCTCGTTAAAATATTTATATGTATAATTTGTTAAAATCAAACTTGTTACAAATTGTTTTAAGATATTGTAATATATATTTTATTATATAAAACGCTCTCTCTCTTTCTCTCTGTCAGTTTTCGGCTAGCAAAATACAAGTTTAAGATAGCCTAAAATATCACGAAAATAATTGTAAACTGCATATGTATAAGGAACATAGCGTGAGAACGTGGATTTTCTCGGTCCCAACCCAAACTGACTCCGTATCTTTCTCTCTCTTTCGTTTCATCGCGCTTTTTCAGATAACTGTACCTTCAGATAATTGTGAGAGAGCGTTAAGTTACCGTAGCTAACTCGGTTGTGTAAGAGACCGCACGCGATGAAGAATGGATCAAACAGTTCGGTAGTTACAACGTTGACAGCGATTTTCGCATGCAGACTTGCTGTTTGCGACAAAATAGAAGACAAATCAAACAGATATAGTATAAAAAAAGCGGTCTTAGGACTAATCTCTAGATACGCCAGCGCGAATTGAGATATAAGATGATTGGTTTCTATCAGAGAGAAAGAAAGAGAGAAAGGGGAGAGGAGACATACAAACAGAGAGAGAAGGAGAAAGAGAGAGAGAGAGAGAGAGAGAGAGAGAGAGAGAGAGAGAGAGAGAGAGAGAGAG